TTGCCAACAAACTTGGCAAACACCTCCCCCTTGCTGTTGTGCTGCAAAACAAAGTTAGAATCCAAACATTGAGGAGGTGTTTTTGCCTTTGGTTGATAAGCATATCTATTTGGAGTGACCCAGATAGATTTCTTTGATTTTTGGACAACCTGCTCTGGATGAGACACCTTCTTCTTGGGCTGGACATGAGCAGAGGAGCAGGAGGTGGTCTTCCCTTTTCTATGGGGGGCGGCACTGCCGCCCTTCACAGCGGCACTGCCGCCCATAGGCCTCGGTGCTGCTCTACGCTGGCCTTGTGCCACCATCTGTGCAGACATATCTATACCTTCCTGCCCTTTGCTCATGAACTGAACACACTCATATCCATTGATTACCTTTCTCTCATTGGTTTTACCTCCATGAGTGTGCCCAAGCCCACCTTTGATGCGTGGATTTCTTCCATCTTTGTATTGTGGCCTCTTTGGTTTTTCACCTTTGCCACCAGCATGTTTCTTGCCTTCTATGCACCTTTTTCCTAATATAGCATTGAGCCTAGCAATCTTCTTTTTCATAACCTCCAAGTTTGCAAGGTTAGTGGAATAAATATTTAAGTCAAGATCATAGCATTTTCCACATCCTTGGCTAGTGGAGGGAATAGAAATGTCATTTGTGTTGGAGGGAAGTAGGGTGCTCTCGCATAGAAGACTATATTGCTTCTCAAGTTTGTTGTGCTTTTCAACTAAGACACAATACTTGTCATTGAGTGCAATATTTGCCTTCTTTGTGAGAGCATGTTCTCTTTGTTCTTCGGCCAAGGCCTTATTCAAAGAGTTCGCCTCACTTCTCTCTAACTCAAGAGCTTCCTTGCAGCCAATATACATCTTTTTTGTTTCCTTAAGATAATCATATCTATCGGCTAGCTCGGCTTTGACACTTTCTAATTCCTCCATTAGATTCATGATAAAGAGCTTGGTTTTAGAATCTAACTTCTTAGTTAATTTAGCATATTTCTCAACATCACTAGTATCATCGTCACTAGAATCACTAAGTTCACTAATAGAGATGTTACTAGGAGGTGGAGGAGATTTGGCTCTTCGTTTTACCTTCTCACCCTTTGCCATAAGACAAACGTGAGTGAAGCGGTGGTCATCATCATCGGACATGTTATTGAAGAGCCTTGGTGTAGAGGATGACTTTTGAATAGCCACGGTTGCAACCTTCACATACTCTTCACTTGACTCCTTAGTTGAGTCCCACTCATGCACAATGTGTGCCTCTCCCATTTGCTTGTATCTCTTTTTGTGTTCATGCTTGGCCTCATTGTTGTCCCTCTTGTATTTGTTTTCTTTCTTGTCATAGGGACACTTAGCAACGAAGTGCTCCGTGCTGCCACAATTATAGCAAGTCCTCTTCTTCTTGTTGGAAAACCTTCTTTGCACTATCTTATACCTATTCTTTTTTAACCCCTTGTGATAGCTTTTCATGAACAAAGCCATGTCATCAATCTTTATATAATCAGCCCCATCATCTTTATCTTCACTTGAGGATGAACTTGGATCATTATTTTGTGGAGTGGACTTGATTTCCTTGGGTTTATTTGTTGATGCTTGCTTGCTGCCCTTTGCCTTGTTGGAGGTGCCTTGATTGCTTGATTTATTTGCCTTGAGAGCCACTTTCTTGATTTTCATGCCTTCTAACTTGGCTTGCAACTCACCAAGTCTTATCCTCTTATTTGCTTCTTCTCTTTGCATGTCAAATGCCAACAATCTTCCAAGCATATCATTTGATGTGAAGTGCTCAAACTTCTTATCTCTAATCAAGGTGACTACGTCTCATTTCTTGCTGAGTAAGCTTCCAACATAACCTTCACCACTTTGTGATCATCAAGCTCATCACATCCATAGCCTCTAATCTTGCCCACCAAGGTCATCAATCTATCAAACATCTCTTGTGGCCCCTCTCCATCAACAATCACGAACCTATTGAGCTTGGCCATCAACAAATCAATCTTTGACTTCCTTACTTTATCAACACCTTCATGTGCTAGATACAAAGTGTCCCAAATCTGTTTTGCAACATTGATATCCATCACTCGGTTGTACTCATTTCCATCCAAGGCACTAAGAAGAATACTTGTGGCTTGGCCATTGAGATGGACAGCAGCTAGCTCTTCATTTGTTGGTGCTTCGGGATCTTCTAGTGGCTGCAATCCATTCACCACAATCTCCCAAAGACCGGGGTGAAGACCTACAAGATAGGCATTTATCAAGTGCTTTCACTTGGCAAAGTTTGTCCCATCAAAATGAGGCAACTTGCCCGCAGGCACATTGACAAAAGATCTTTTGTTATGGTTAGACAAATAAGAATAATTAAAGGATACGGCGCCATATTTGTTCTTCTTGTTGTTGCTGCTGCCCTTGTCCTTGCTATCCTTCTTTTTGTCCTTGCTCTTCACCTCCTTGCTATCTTTTGAAGCATGGTATGACACATCATCATCTCCATCGTCCGAGCTACTAGAGAGCTCACTAGATGATGCATCATACTTATTCTTCTCTTGCTCTTTAGCTCTTGCTGCCCTTCTCTTAGCTCTTGCCTCTCTTGTGATTCTTCTAGCTTCTTTTCTCTTCTTCTTTTCCTTGAGCCACTGCTCTTCCTTCTTCTTTTCTCTAGCTTCTCTTGTTGCGATTTTGGCGTCTTTTCTTTCTTTTCTTGCCTTTTTTTTCTTTTGGCATAAGTGGTCTTGGGTTCTTTGATGGTGGCATCACTTGCTGTGGACATGGACAGCTCGCTGCTACTGCCAACATCCTCGACGTGCACACCACTTGCGTCCGCAACACGAACGTTCTTCGAACCTTCTCCTTCTTCCATACTTCACGCGGTGAAGTGTATACGAAGCAACCTCACTCCGATACCACTTGTAGGATCTACTGGAAGATAAAGAAGGCCTAGAGGGGGGTGAATAGGCCTGTAAAATTCAACTCGAAACTCTGTTAGAACAGATGGCGGCATTGCTGGCCTTACAGGGCGGCACTGCCGCTCTACGAAAAATAATCTAACACAGTTGAGATTTAACAGAGATGGACCTGACCCCACTAGCTGCTTAATCCTGTAATATAGAGTCAAGATCCAGTTCAAAGACTGGATACCACAGAAACTTCACACAAAAGTGAATCGAGTAACTAAACCCTAACAACAGCTAGCAATAATGTAAACAGCAAGTATAATGAAGATAAAGCATGCGAGACATAAGATTTATCCTGTGGTTCAGCTCACCACTAAGAATTGCCTAAGTCCACGTTGTTGAGGAAGCCACAAAAGGCTTGAGCTTGCCACAAAGGCTTGCTTTACCCTCGTTCTCAAATCAAGAAAGTGAGCTCTTGAAGTGAGGGGTGATTTCTTAGCCTTCGAATGAGGTTACAAACCTCCCAAGGCTGCCACACGAGTTGGCAAACACAAGGGCGACGCCTAGTCAGCTAGGAGCAAGCTCCAAGAGTAACAAACCCTAGAACCACTGGCCAAACGTGAACCAAATGCTCTTAGACTTTGAGAATCAGTGGATCTCATCTACAATCGAGTTTTGCTACCTTTTCTCTCAAGTTTTGATGGTTGGAATCAAGGATTAGCTTGAAGGATGGAGGAGCAACAATGGAGGAGAGGGGTGAGCTTTGGTTCTGTCTGTTTTCGAGCAGAGTGAGTCAGTGAAGAAGATGACCGTTGTGAGCCGGGCCTAAAGGGTATAAATACCCCCCGAGCACAACAGTCAGTTAAGGGCGGCACTGCCGCCCTAGCCAAAATAGGTAATATGATATGAAATTTGGCTGGCTGTTTTGACTAGGTGGGAGGATGTAGATCTGTGAATTTGAGCATCTGATTCAACAGTTGACCAACTGTCCTAAAATCCCTCTTAATAGTACGACTTTTCCTAAACTCAAATTCAAAACATAAAAGAATTTAAATCTTCTTTGAGCTAGGTATGGCCACCTTTTGTAATTAGGACACCTGCAACCTGTTCATCATCCTCATTCTTTGATTCCCTGCTTGTCATCTCGATAAATCTAATTAGTCCTCTAATTTGGTGGTCATCAATACCAAAACCCACAATAGGGCTTGATGCACTTATAGTTTTTCCGCAACAGCGCGCAAAATATGCTTCAGTCTTGTACTAATATATATCAATATATATTACTGAACTTGTTTGCTCCCGTATGTTTTGCAGCTCCGGTATCTCTATTACACCCTAGACCTCCAGTTTATCATTTTTCAATACCGTTGTCCCCGCTGCCGTCGGTCATCACTCCCTATGAGGCCAGCTCTTGGACTTTTTTCCCATGTTTTACATACGCTCATGCGTCTTGCAATTTTTTACCAAGTCGATCGAACTGCTTAACACAAATCGTTTGCTTTAATTTGCTTCTGTTTTGTAGCTCCAACTTTGCAATGCCCTACCATTTCGCTTTGTCATTTCCCTCATCTGTGTCCTTCTCAGCAGCTGACCTGCCCGCCTCAAGGTTGCCACTTGCCAAGGGCCAAGGCGGTTCCCCCACTGGAATTCTAGAGTAAATTGTACGGCCGGTCCTTAAAGTATTTGGCGGTTCTCATTTGGGTCCCCAAACTATGAAATCATACGTTTGGCTACCTAATGTATTTAAGTGATCTCATCTAGGTCCAAAATAGATATGAGGAGGGTTAGTAGCTGACGTGGACATGATTTGAATAGAAAATCTATGAGGCATGCAACGTCCCCATCGGTGATGGCAGAGCGTGACACGCGCGCCAGCTACGTAGCCACCGGTCAGGGACGACCCGGCCACGTCGTGAAGCCACCATGCCGCCTCCTCGCATCGTTTCGTCCCGCACCCAGACCCCATTCCTGCATATAAGCCACGCTCCACGTGCTTCCGATCATCGCACCACACCTCCAACGCACGAATCGCCATAGCCATCTAGCTCGGCGATCACACGGCTGCATCCATCCATCGACCGCCATGGCGTAGGCGGAGCGCGAGCAGCTGAGCGTGGTCATGTTCCCATGGCTCGCGCACGGCCACATCACCCCGTACCTCGAGCTGGCCAGGCGCCTCACATCCGTGGACCGCCGTGCCGCCGGCGATAACATTGACGTGACCGTGCACCTCGTCTCCACGCTCGTGAACATGTCAGCGATCGCGCGGCACCAGACTTCGCGGATCCGCTTCGTGGAGCTCCACCTCCCGATGCCACCGGACCTACCGCCCAAGCTGCACACCACCAAGCACCTCCCGGCCTGCCTCATGCCGGCGCTCAAGTGCGCGTGAGACCTTGCCGCGCCGCGCTTCGGCGCGCTGCTCGACGAGCTCCGCCCGAACCTCCTCCTCTTCGAATTCCTCTACCCGTGGGCGCCGCTCGAGGCCGCGGCCCGTAGTGCACCTCGGCACCTGCAGCGCCGCCGCCACCTCCTTCTTCGTCCACTGCCTCGGCAGTGCCCGCGTCGGCCGCACGTTCCTGTTCCAGGGCGTCGGGCTCAGCAGCGCCGAGGAGGAGGCCAAGTACACGTCCATGTTCGCTGTCTGTGACCACCCCGACGCCCTGGTCCCCGAGCGCGACCGCCTGCTGCTCAGCCTCGCGCGCTCCTCGTGCTTCGTGGCCATCAAGACGTGCGTCGACATCGAGCGACCCTACATGGGCTACCTCTTCGAGCTCCTGGACAGCAAGGAGATCGTCCCCGTCGGCCCGCTGCTCGTGGACGACTCCGTGGTGCTCATCTCTGTCGGCATCGAGTACTTCATGTCGGAGCAGTAGCTGGCGCGGATGGCGCGCGACCTAGAGCTCAGTGGCGAGCGGTTCCTTGTGGGTGGTGCGGTTCCCCAAGGGCCCCGAGGACGGCGACGACGCGGCGCGCGCGCTGCCCCGCATGTTCGCCCCGGTGCCCGGGCGCGGTCTGGTGGTGGAAGGGTGGGCGCTGTAGAGCCGCGTCCTGGCGCACCCGACCTGCGGCGTGTTTCTGTCACACTGCGGTTGGAGCTCCGTGCTGGAGTCCCTGGCAGCGGGCGTGCCGATCGTGGCGCTCCCGCTGCACATCGACCAGCCGCTAGGCGCCACCCTGGCCGCGGAGCTGGGCGCCGCCGTGCTCGTGCCGTAGGAGCGGTTCGGGGAGTTCCGGGCCGAGGACGTGGAGCGCGCGGTGCGCGGGGCCATGCGCGGGGAGGAGAGCCGCGCGCTCAGGCGCCGCACCGCGGAGCTGCCAGAGGTGGTGGCGCGGAACGACACGGATGGCGCGCAGGTCAACGCGCTCGTCCAGCGCATGGCACGGCTCTGCGGCAAGGGACAGCAGCGAGTGCCCGGGCGGCGCCCACGGGTAGAGGAAGTCGAAGAGGAGGTCCGGGCGGATTGTGATTTGATTGCCACTATCATCTACGACTACGTCAGCTTCTAACCCTCCTCGTGTCTATTTTGGACCTAGATGAGATCACTTAAATACATTAGGCAGCCAAACATACGATTTCATAGTTTGGTGACCCAGATGAAAACCACTCAATACTTTAAGGACCGGCCGTGCAATTTACTCGGAATTCTATATAGGCACATAAGACATCCACTCTAACTGCAAGCAATTATAGCACATATCTATCATGCGAGCTATCTACATCCGCGGGACACATTAGTCACTAAGGGTCTGCTTGGATCATCTAGTCCTGAACTAAACTTTAGTCTCTACCATGTTTGGATTTAGAGATTAAGACTATCTCCAACAACGACGTCCAAAATACAAGACCTATTCAATATTTGGGTAGCACTACAGGCAAATAGTTTAATACATATGTTTAGTCTTCTCCAACAACATGATCCAAGAGAGAACATTTTCTGTAAAATAGGTTTTTAGGAGAGAGGATGTTCATATTTAGGTTGTACATCTCCTACTACCCAAAATAGGTCTCCCGTATTGGTACTCAATTGGAGGCTGAAATAGTACTATCGAAGACCCATTTTAAATTTAGGTGTCGTTATGGGTACTTTGTTGAAGATAGTCTAAATGCCATTAAAGCCGCTGAACAAATACCAAAATGCCCCCATTCTCCTCTTCCCCTACAGCCACCGCCATCCTCGCTCCTCTCCCTCCCCACCGCGCTCTCCGTGATGCCGAACCCTCGCGGCAGAGCCGGACCCAATTCGCAGCGGACACTGTCGGATCTCCCACCGTGGACCCGTGCCGGAGACATGCATTTATTTGTCCACGTTAGCATACCATGCCATCAAGCAAAAATCATTCGCAATTCATGCAGCGACGCGCGGGGTATCCTTCTAGTTTTTAAAGAAAATGAAGCGAACCATGTATGTGGCAGCCTCATCCATTTAAGAGTACAAAGTTAACATAAAACGATTCAAAGTTGCAGTTCAATTTTTTAGTCAAATATAATAGAAAAGAAGAAACATAGTTCAATCTGATAATGTAAAATTAATCATAGAAAACCTCTTGATGTTGGCCAAGTACTTGAATCTTCACCATGGAATAAAAGGAGATTCAAATTGCAATTTGAATTATCTTTTTTCTTTTGCGACTGCAATTTGAATTATCTTTTGTTGACAATTATAACAGGAAAAAAAGCATAGTTCAATATGAGAGCTTAGAAAATAAAAATTGAATGTTAAAAGGTAATACCTAATACATATTGTTACCTTGAAAATTGCAAATGACCCCTCATGAAAAAAATCTACATTGTAACTTGTTCTCCCGCACGAGTGGCCCAACCTCCACCGCTCGATCATATCCCCTCCCCTGCGTATGAAGGATCAAGGAGGCTGACCAGAGGGACCGAATAGTCATTTTTAAACTAATTACAATGCCTCGGTTTTCTCCCAGTTACAGAAGCTCACCAATAAAAAATCGAGTCACATTGGTTTACCCTCAATAGAAAATTACATGACCACACGATAGAAGTGGGCGGAAAAGAAGAGAAAGCTGACAATAGTCAAAGAATTTGTCGATTCTAATTATATAGAGTTTGTGCAGTTGGATGTAGCGGAGACACATGACGAGTGAAAAATTATAACCAAAGAAACAAACAAAACGATTTACAAAAAAATACTCTTAAATAAAAAAAGGAAAAAAGTAAGGTACGTGGTCTGTTTCGCGGACAACCTTGCTAGTTTGACTCGGACTAAGGCCCCATTTATTTGAGCTACAGCTGCCCAAAAAACTAGTTCTTTGATTTTTGCTCGTTATATTTTTACTATTAGTTTTAAATAAATTTTTGGATTCTCAGAAAAAAAAAACAAATCTCAGCATGTTCTTCAGCTTTATTTTCTTAAAAAGCAACCTTCTAGTTTTTCAAAAGTCATCTTTAACAACTGCATTGTTTGTTTAGCAGAAGCAACAAGAAAACTAAAACAAATATGTCCGAAATAGAATAGCATCGTTATAGAGACGGAATGGCATTAGATTTGTCACATGCGAAGGTCAGATCGTCCTTGGCTAGGTACACTATCGCACCGCGCATTCACCGGATCCCCGGAGCTTGAAGCTCCGGCCCCTGCTTCGCCTCCCTGCGTCCCCGGTGGCCCGGTCCCTCGGCACTGGATCCAGGCATCCAGCGCCCGCCCGCGCACACGCGTGCCGGTCCATCGGCGCCCCGCGCCAGCGCCTCGCCACATTCTATCGACAGCCCATTCAATCTCCACCGGTTCGGTTGGCCCGCTTCGATCTCCACCGGCCGGTGATGTCCTCCCGCTCCCGTCCCGTGCCCGTCCATCCATTCCATCCGCGCGTGGCGTCACCCACCCCTCATCGGCGCCCGCGCCTCGTCCGCTTTCCCCCAACTCCCACTCCAACCACCACCGCCCAAATAATCCCGCGTCGCCTACCCGTCCCGGCGCGACGCCATGCTCTCTATCTCCTTCCTCACCAAGCTCCTCGCTATCCTCCTCCGGGGCATCCTCCTCCACCTCCACGCCCCCACCATCCCGTCCTTCGCGCACCACTTCTTCTCCACCTAGCGGTGAACTCGCTCTGCTGCTGCCATGCCGAGAGCTCTGCAGAGATCTGGCAGCAACAGCCTGGCCTCCCTGCTCCGCGCCGAGCCACCGGACGATGTGGTCCTCGATCTGAAGCGGACCGAGCGCGATGGTCGACGCCGCAGGAGGAGGAGGAGGAGGAGCTGCCTCCGGCTGCCCCTCGGCGGGGCCGGTGGGTGCCGCGTCTGCGCATGCGACGAGATGGACTCCTCCGCCGCGGCCCCGCTCCGGCGCACGCCGGGGAACGACGACGAAGACGAGGATGGCGCCGCAGTGCAGTGCTTCGCCTGGAAGAAGGGTGCCGCCGCGGCGGCGCACCGGCCGTCGGGAGCCGGTGCGGGTGAGGTATTGGTGACGGAGGCGGCCGCGGCGGCGTCCCTGGCGGTGCTCCCGGACGACGTGATGGAGATGGTTCTGTGCCGGCTGCCGCTGGCCTCGCTCCTGGCGGTGCGGTGCGTGTGCAGGCGGTGGAGGGACCTCCTCACCGTCGCGCCTCAGTTCCTGCGGATGCGCCGCGAGGAGGAGCCTGGGCCGTGCCGGACGCCGTGGCTGTTCCTGTTCGGGGTCGACGGCGACGTCGGGTGGGGCGCCGCCCTGCCCCGGCCGTGCACGCGCTCGACGTGGCCGCGCACCGGTGGTGCCGTGTCAGGGCGGACGGGCTGAAGGGGAGGTTCCTGTTCTCCGTCGCCGGCGTCGGGGACGACCTCTACGTCGTCGGTGGCCGGTCCGGCGGCTCGGATGCGAGCAAGGTGAAGACACACAAGGGAGTGCTGGTGTTCAGCCCTCTCACCGGCTTGTGGCGGAAGGCGGCGCCCATGCAGACCCCGCGGTCTCGCCCGGTGCTGGGCGTGTTTGAGATGTCCGCCAGCTGCAGCATTCTCCACACTCGCGCAGAGAAGAATGTCCGACGCGGCAAATCTCGGTTCGGTGGCGCATCCGCCGTGTACGAGGACCCGCACCGGCTCTCCCTCCGCCGCCTCCGCCTCAAGGACATGCTGAACGAGGACACTGATTCCACTGACCTCGCTTCGTATCATCATGGCAAATCCGCCGGACAGGAGGGCGAGGAAGGCCAGCCGAGGCTCGCCTTTGTCGCCGTCGGTGGGCGCGGCCGCTGGGACGAGCCACTGGTGTCCGGGGAGATATACGATCCCTTGGTCGACAAGTGGGTCGAGATTGCCGGGTTTCCCACCGACGTAGGGCTGGCCTGCTCCGGCGTCGTCTGTGGCCGGATGTTCTACGTATACTGCGAGTCCGACACGCTCGTCGCCTACCATCTGGACAAGGGCTCCTGGGTCGTCATTCAAACGCTCCCCCCGCCTCCGCGGCTCCGCGACTACGCCCCGACGCTGGTGTGCTGCGCGTCGCGGCTGTTCATGCTCTGCGTGTCGTGGTGCGACCGCCACGGGCCGGTGAACCGGAGGGAGAAGGTGGTGCGGAAGCTGTTCGAGCTCGACCTCAGCTCGCTCCAGTGGACCGAGGCGTCGGGGCACCCGGACGCGCCGATGGATCCCAACGCGGCGTTCGCCGTCGGGCAGGACAGGGTCTACGCCGTCGAGATGTTCAGGATCTTCGGCAAGGTGCTCGATTTCGTTACGGCCTGCCGGGTTTCGGACACGGAACAGAAGTGGAGCCGGGTTGGCCGGGAAAACGCGGCGACGGAGGCCGACGCCATGTCCTGCAGGCTGAAATCCATGGCCGTCCTGCACTTGTAACTGCTGCTTATTTTTTATTTTCTTCTTCTCCTCCCTATAGTCTGCTTGCACAGATTTGTTGTTTCCATGAACAGACATGATGATGAGATGATGTTTATACATCACAGCTATTGCATCATTCATTTATTTGTTGACATTACAGTGACTATTCATACTCATGGTTCCCGAAATTGTTTTGTATTCTGTGACAGTGATCAGACTCATATTCTCAACATCTGTATGCAGTACCAACTCATATTTAATTGATGAGCCCTAGTTCTTGTTGCTTGCTGTTTGTCAAGAGCTAAACTAACCACCTTGAGTGCACTTGTACGCTCCTTAATTTGTGATGGTTCAGTCTCATCTCCATGATTAAATATATCATTAACTCATTCGGTTGGTACAGATCCAGCGAGGCCATGATTTAATTAAGGCATGTGACACATACATTGTGGCTTAATCATCCTGCGTCCTGTTCGTTTGAACTGCTTCTCTCACAACAAAACATCATCCGCCGGTTTATCAGCCGCAGAAACTGTCAGCCGAACAGGACGCTGATCATCCTAGCAGTCTGTATAGAGTGCGGACCATAGACCAGCAACCTGCTCGCTTGCTCGTATACGATCGTGGATTATAAGTTGGAACAGTATTTTTCTCTCATACCAAACCAGCCAGCAGTAAATAATCCACGAAACAGGCTGCAGTGATTTAATAGTGGTTGGCTTTCGCATAGTCAAATGTTGTCGAATTATCCGCTAGGTATTCATGGAGGAGGCATCCCGGCCTGTGTACAACTTTCTTCATGCCGTTTCATACGTTCACGGGATTAAGGTTCATTTGAAAATCCAAATTATATTGCTTATCTTGCAGGTTCTAGCTTGATTTTGTCAGCATTTTTTTTCTCATGATAGGAAAATATATATTTCCCTGATCACAATCTAGAAAAGGGGGGCACATCTTCACTCATGCAAATGAGAAAATTGTAAGCATAACAGATCTTTCTAGTAGGTTATCCTCCCAGTCCTAGCTTGTGATCATTCATACAGTTTAAAAAATAGAACCAAAATACCCATCATTCTGGTAGGTAGCTGCTCTATTAGAGAAAAAAAAACCCCGATTGCAAGTCATCATAAGCAAGCTCCAGGAACATGCTTTATCCACCATCACAACTTTAAAAAACAAAGCAGTTCCATGATTTCTAAAGTAAAAAAAAAAGGAAGGGCAAAGCAACCTCACAAAGCATCAATATATTCCCATTAGCCGGAACCAAATCATCTAGCCATGGACTTGCAAGCAGCATCACAAGAAATGTGTACCAACCAGATCGGCGAAGTGATGTGGCCACGTGCCGTTGGCATCCTGGACTGACTCTCGAACCCTTGATTAGCCAGTAGTGCTTGCGTTGTGCCGATGGGAATTCACTACTTTTCGGCGCTTAATAACTGCCAAAGCACAACGCATGGTGGCCCCATGGGCACTCTGGTACTTACATTGCTGCCTTCAACTGGCAAGCGGCTAACTGCAGGCCCCCACTTACTTGACTGATGCACTGTAATGTAATGTACTCACGGTGCACAATTAAGAGAAGCACGTGGCAGGCATCACGAACTGACTAATGTAGGCACGGATCCATCCCACCTCATCTTGCGGCCGTTCAGTTAAACCAACCAATCTTTTCTCCTCGGAACAAAATTTGCAGGGCTCGCGCAGCGAAAAAAAATGTGAAACTGTGATTCTGTGAATGATGTTGCTATCTTTGCTCTGCTTTTACATCTGGAGTCAGCGCCTCTGTTACCATGGTATACTCAATCTGGCCCAGAGATAGAGGAACAAGAAAAATGTATGTCAGCATGTAGCTCTGTCTCTAAAAAGCTAGTAGGTAATCTTTTTTTTTTTTAAAAAAAGCTAGTAGTTAAGATCGTTGCCTTGTTGACAACTCGTAAGGGTGACCTGTGAACGTGTGCTGAGATCTTGTTGCCGAGCTTTAGTCTCTCTCTCCACATATATTGTTGAAACATCACAGTCACAGGAGATAGTGACTACTGAATTTGTGGGCGTAAGAACACCAGTCGAGTTGGTCGAGTGGCTTGCCCAGCGAACCATGACATCTACAGAAAACCAGAAACACAACCAGTTAGCAAGACAAATGAAGGGCTACATTACATGGTCAATACGGAAAACTGAAGTGGACAACTTATTTCTGAAACTGAACCAAAGCAAAAAGAGTAAGTCGTCCCAGTATTTTCTATGTAGGTGGACTTTGTAACTTAAATTATACGTCCACAATGATTTTATTCATGGATCTGATGAACCTGGACACTCTTTGAGAAATGTGCTTGGTCAGCACTACCTACCCTCAAAGGCTTCAACAGGAGGTGTGCTTGGCAATGAACATTACTCCCTCCAGCTCAAAATACATGTCACCGCCCTCATTTATACAACACTGCAAACAGATGTCTCATTTATTTGTGAATAACATTTATTTGGCAAGGGCGAGAAAGGAAGGGAAATATAGCTAAAAGTTCTAGGATGACCTGTATTTTGAAAGAAGTTCGGAATCAGAGGGTACCTTGTAAAGCAATGTGCCAGCCACATTCATCTTCATTTTGTATAGTGCCTCACTCAGAAATGTTATGAACTTGTAACTGATCCTGAAAAGAATTCCAAATAGATTCCTTCACTCTACCACACATAGATCTTCTGGATGCACAGCCAAGAGATGCAAAGAAATCAAATGATACGACAGCTGATCAACTACTGCATAAATCTCGCTTGAGCTTTCATGTCTAATGTCTTCCACTCCAAATTCATGGATGCTGTTGTTTATTTCAATTGAACTAACAGCCATATCCTTTCTCGTCCCCCACTCTTTCATTAATTTCCTGAGCCTTTTCATGTCTTCCCACTGGTGAGTTTCGTATAACAAGTTTGAAATTAGAACAAACAGACCTCCACTGATGCCCTCCAGTTCAAGTAATTGCTTGATCACTTGCCTGCCAATCTTGACATTCCCATGGATTCTGCAGGCTCCCAGCAATGCACCCCAGACCACAACATCAGGCTTCATTGGCATCTCTTTTATTAGACAAACAGCCTTTTCAAGATGACCACGTCGGCCAAGAAGGTCAACCATGCAAGCATAATGCTCAACTTCATGCTTAACATTGTAAACATGTCTCATAGATTCAAAGTAATGCTGTCCAGTTTCTAGTAGACCCCCATGACTGCATGCAGAAAGAAGGGCCACAAAGGTAATCCCATCTGGCGAGGAGTCTCTTACCATTGACCTGAAGAACGTGATTGTGTCCAATGCACGACCATGCAATGCCAGCCCCCCAATAATAACATTCCAAGAAACTACATTTCTATTACACATTTCACTGAACAGGCTGATTGCTGTGTCTACCTGACCACATTTTGCATACATGTCCAGAAGTGAATTAATTAGAGAGACATCAGGATTATAGATATTGTCTCTAATGTAAAGGTGTACCATCTTCCCTACAGTCAAGTCACCAATTCGCCCACAAGCAGAGAGGACAGCCACTAAGGTAACCTCATCTGGAGCAAGACCCTGGGATTGCATTCGGTTATAAAGATCCAATGCTTCATGGCACTGGCCACGTTGAACATAGCAAGAGATCATGGCATTCCATGAGACTATGTTCCTCTCTGGCATGTGGTCAAACCAGCATCTTGCAGCATCAACTGAACCATGTTTCGTCTGAGCGCAAAGCATGGACGTCCATGAAACGACACTCTTGATGGGCATCATTTCAAAGCACCTACGAACCATCCACAGATCCCCACACTTACCATACATGTCCACCAAAGCACTTTCAAGAATCAGATCAACCCGAGATCCACTAACCAAGATATGACAATGCACAAGGCGACCAATTTCAAGGTTCTCTTCTTGTGAGCAGGCGAGAAGCAGGCTGGCCAACGTGAACTTATCTTCCAAGAACCCTTGACGCCTCATCTCTCCGAACAAGGCGCACGCCTCTCTAGTATCCCCCGCCCGCGCGTACCCACCGATCATCGAGTTCCACGACACAACATTCCTGCCCGCCATCTCATCAAAGAACCGCCTTGAGTCCCCCAGCGATCCGGCCAACGCATAGGAGTGCAGAAGTGTGTTGCCCACAAACACCTGCCCCACAAGGCCAAGCCTCAGAGCGACACCGTGGACGGCCAGCGCGTACTCCCGCGCCTGCGCTCTCGTGCACGCCTTGACAACAAAGGGCAGAGTGAACTCATTGGGCAGGATCCCTCGCCTGAGCATGCCGCGGTGGAGGCGTAGCGCTTCCTGCGGGCAGTCGCTGTTGCAGTAGGCTCTGATGATGGTATTGTACATGACCCTGCCCGGGTCAGGAATTCCGTCGAACAGACGGCGCGCGTGGCAGAGAGCGCCATGTCCGGTGCTTGCAGAGACCGAGAGGGCGCAGTAAGAGGCGAGGAGGAGATCGGATGCGGCGGACAGGTAGGATCCGTGGACGAGGAGGTGGGCGTGGAGCTGGTTGAGGCGCTGGATGGAGCGGCACTGGCGCAGCAGCTTCTGCAGGGACGGGAGATAGTGGCCGGCGGGCGCGGGCGTAAGCATCGAAAGGCGAGGAGAAGCGACAAAGCAGTTTGCGTTTGTGAGGTGTGGGAAAACTCCCAGCCCATGGGCCGCGAATGGTTCTTACTGGACCCTGGACCAAAAACTGCTTTACATATCCCGCAAATGGCGAGCGCCAAGCATCACAGGTCACAGGTGCACAGCGCGGGCGGAGCAGCATGAGGCTGTTCGGGAAACACGTGTTCCCGAGGCAGATCGCCCTGTTCGCCGCAGGGTAGGTACCTCCTCCGTCGTTCTCCTATCGATCTCTCCTCAATTGCAGCCGGGCGGCGGCGTCGTCGCTGAGGTGCATGCTCGATTGAACATGAACTGCAGGCTGGTGTTCTTTGGGGCGACGACGTACGACGTGCACCGGTCCATCAAGAACAACGAGCAGCCGCCGACCAGGGAGCAGATGGAGGCGCTCCAGGACTACATCAACTCCAAGAAGCGAAGCAGTGAGGCCGGTGAAGAATAAAGATCCGTGCTTTATGCGAAGCTGATACATATTCATCATTTGCTAGGTGTGTATGCTCGCAATAAGATCGGATCAGGTGGGGGCTGAAAACAAGTAGGTGCGTGCTATATGTTCGACGATATTCCCATGAGGATTTCTGGACTGTAAAATGAATCAGTAAATGGTTTCGACGATATTCCCACGAGGAGACCATAAATAAATCAGTAAATGGCTGTGTAATTATGAGGCTGTAATTGGGCATGTTTCGAGAGAAGCATGGCGGAGTGCGCGACCCCAGGGTTGGGTGCAACCCGGTGTCCTTGCCACATATCTTGTTTGGATGCACTTATATCCATCTCAATCATGTGTGTTGGAGTGGATTAAGATAAAAATTAGTTTTAAATTCTACCTCAATATACAACACATGTGGATTCAGTTGAATAGGAGTATATCCAAGCAAGCCCACAACGGGTTTGTGCCGGGGCCAGGGGGCATCGCGCGCGGATCGGACGCCGGCACATGGCGGTGGTGGACGCGGGCAAGCAAACCAACAGCGAAGAACTATACTATGATATTCGGCCATTTATACATGTAGATACATATCTCACTTATATAACCAATGTATATAATGATAATTATATTAGAAACATCTTAACCGAGTGTAGCACACTTTTTCCTACTATACTACAACTTTATTCATAAAAAGGAGCGGAAGGTAAAATTTATTAAGCATCCCAAAATTCCAACTGATGATGCCTGACCAGACTCTCCAACGATCATGTTCCACCAATCTTGGACATGAACCTTTTCTTTGACCTCAGCTGAAAAATCAGATGGCACAGGTCAGATGAAAGAATGACCAAATGTGCTGATAGTAATAATTGAAGTATGACTGTAGATCAAGTGTGCATAGCAGTAAACTCATCGTCAGTTAAAAGTCTATCTTGCTATATAGATATATACGATGACTGGAAAAGCCAAAAAAAAAATGCGATCGCCTAATATAAAACCAAAAACATGAGACAACAACAACAATGGTTGCCTAATATACGAACGAAGGGGCAAAGCCGTAAAAGTACACTTGGATGACCCATAAACGCGACCAACTATTCTCACGAGTAAATTAATCTGAAAGCATGACGTACTACTCACAGCAGCGATGCCAAAGCAACAACCTTGACAGTAATTCTGAAACAAAGCATTGTATATGACGACTGAACAAAGCCTAAACATTAACATCAACTAAAACCAATGAGCATGAAAGATGATAGTCTATATATAACGATCGAAGTAGTATATAACAAATCAAAAGTTACTGGATGAACACAAGTTAAACTGATGGATGGATTCTCACCGCGTTGGTGTGCCCACACGTCTTGCGGCAGTTGGTTGCCCTGAGAGGAAGCCGTGCATAGCACCTGCAGGAGAAGACGGAGGATCAAAGATCAAAGTTAGGGATCGTATGCGCAGAGAGCTTGGATCAGTACTTGCATTGAACGAAACGATCGAACGGGATCATCAGTAAGTAATAAAGGCGTATATATATACAGTACGTACTTGCGGCAGACCATCTTGTTCTCGTTGTACTTCTGCGCGAGCTCGCGGAGGCTGGGCCCGATCCCCTCGGGGTAGCCGCCCCTGCTGCCGCCGCGGAGGCGCAGCACCAGGTGCAGCGTCGACTCCTTCTGGATGTTGTAGTCGGCCAGGGTGCGGCCGTCGTCCAGCTGCTTCCCCGCGAAGATGAGGCGCTGCTGGTCCGACGGGATGCCTTCCTTGTCCTGGATCTTCGCCTTCACGTTGTCGATGGTGTCGCTGCTCTCCACCTCCAGCGTGATCGTCTTCCCGTCAGCGTCTTCACGAAGATCTGCATCTTGCTTCCCACGTCGCGTCGTCTCACCCTCCGCTCCTTTCGGTTTTGTGGTGGTACGAGGTTATCGAATCCAGCTATTGACGGAAGGACGTGCTCTATCCCCGCTTTATATGGGGAGGAGGTGACTTGCCGGCTGCGAAATCTACCGGATGGAGATTTCGCGGACAGGAGTGTACATGACTCCTACGAAACTGATGGATTTTTTTTTTTTTTTTGCTTTTTCAAAATTACTAATACTAATGAGTACTTTTTTTTGAGCAAAATGAGTACTACCCGCCTACTAGTCGTCCCAATAACCAATATGTCAAGCCTCGGAGAATCAGAGGCCCAAGATTTAGTTTGGGCTGATACCATAGTAGATACACATACTCTTTTGGTTGACACAATTACATTTGGGACTCTTATGTTCTTCCCCATTTATTTAACTTTGTGATTTTGCCCTTCTGCTTCGAAAGAAAGCGAGTTTACCCCTATGTATCATTTAGACGAGTTAACATTGCAAGTTCAACTAAAAAGACTGGTTTTCCCATGGAATTTGCCCTTACGTTTTTTTAGTACTCCTTCCGTTCTAAATTATAAGTCGCTTGGACTTTTTTTAGTACATCCACTTTACTATGTATATAGATATAACAATATGTCTAAATACATAGCAAAATCGATGTACCGAAAAAGTCAAAGCGATTTATAATTTGGAATGGAGGAAGTACTATATAACTTTAACATCTATTTTGACATCGAATATTCAGACAACATTTTAAAAGAATTTTTTAGAAATAATGCAAATAATTCAAATTTAAGCAATGTTTAACAAGTTCAACATGCTTAATCACTTTTGATTTTTTCCTTTTTATTTAATTTGTTTATTCGACATTAATCTAACAGAATCTAAAACAGGGGGATGGTGGCTTCAGATTTAAAAATTAAAGGTAAAGGCACAAAGTTGAAAAAACGAGATTAAAATTACAATTGGCCTTCAGAGCAGGGGGCAAGAACACCAATCTCCCTTTTATTTACAACCTACCTTAAATAAACACTTAATGCATTGATAACCTTAATATTTTAGGCCGGATGCAGATCTTGTTATGGCATTGCGTGTCTTTTTTTTTTTTTGTCCACGTATTTTTGAAATGGATGGACATATATTTTGCCTGCGCAGCATCTTCATCATGGGCCGCAGAGTTAGGCCCATTGAACGACTGTTTGGGCCAACTAATTAGGTTACATGTCCTTTGTGTTTCATTTTCTTGGGCCGGCACTAACGTAACGTCCCTGGCCCAGAAATTTTCTTCTCAGCTAGACAGAACATTTCTTTTTCTCAAGGGAAAAGAATCAAATCTGGACATGGAAACTCACTCTGCCTCAGGATTCAGATGTGCGTCTCTAGGTGTGCTACTCCTGCCTACTGGTGCACACGAGGCGATTACTATATGCTGCTTCTAAAATCTTATTAAAGAAGCAGCTGGTCTGGTACCACATGGTCCGTTGTTTGTTCCCAGTTGCCACCAACAATGCTTGATGTATTGTTATCCAAAAAAAAATGCGTGATGTGTGGACATGAAAACACGTATGTAGGACGACTAGCAATTAGCAGGAGGACTGCAGGAGGCATATTGCGTATCAGCCGTCCCTTCCACAGGTTCCCTCTCTAAAATATTTTCGGCAACGAGGAATGGAAGGCCAGCATTCCTGCAATTCCTACAGCCAATGCTGTTGCTGCTGTACACAAACAGGCTTCTTCCTTCTCGAGCTATATATTCCTTGACCTTCCTACATTCCTACTACTGCTACACAAAACACAATGCTCGGCCGACGGTTGGCGAGACTCTGACCATACGCACAGCCAACAGATTGGCATATTGTTAGATAACGTAAAATAAAACATGGAAAGGATGTGAAAAAGATCCGGTTGCTTTCAACCACACAAGCATAAACAATCTCCGGTTTCCTCTGGGACAAAGAGTACATCCAGGCAAACGGCATTTAGCACTTATCAAACTCCTCAGTCTCTGTGCTGAATAAACTAGAGCCTGGGACTGGGAGAAAGAAGCACGCAAGGTTATCTCAAGATCCGTCTGATGAGCTGATGCAGCCTGCGACGTGGCATTTCACTGGAATTTTGGGCTAAATAAGTACGTTTAGATTTCAACAGGATCTTGTAGACACGGACTGATGAGCGGAAACTTTTTACTTGCAACAGCTGACGCCGCAGGCATGGCTGTTCCCGTGTCCGTAGGGAGAACACCTGCACAGGCATATCTTTGGTGAGCTCATGCTATGATCCTTCTTCACAGTGGCAAATGGTGCCATCTGTGGTACTCCCTAAGGCCATCAGGAATTTGAAATTTTCTTTGGGCTACCAAACCTTACAGCTCTGCGACTAAAGATTGTATCTTTTTTTTTACAGAATTATTTAGATCCATTTTCTGTAATCCAGCAGCTATCAGTTTAGCACACTTAAGTCCGGTTTGTTTAGACATAACTTCTTCACCAGCTTCATGAGTTGTTTGAAGTTGTTTTGTGTCAAACAAATCTTTTTGCAAATAGCTCCACACGTGAACCTCCTCAAAACATGCTCTCACATATGGTAAATGGGAGATGAAGTTAAAAATAGTGGCTTCTCCCAGCTCACACTCACACCAGTGGGAACCAGCACACGCATAGGCCGCATTTGCCCCTACGCAGGGAGGGAGTGCGCGGGCTCGGCCACCGGGGGCGTGGGCGCAGCAGTCAGAGCACGTGGCTGCCGGGGCTCGCTGTCGCTTGCGGGCGCACTGGCATGTCGGGACTCGGAAAGAAAGATACGAGGAAGAAAGGATTTGGGAAGAAAGAGAGGCCGTAGAGAAGGAGATGAGTAAGAAAGAGAGACCATGGGAAAGAGCATTATGGTCATTTTAATCTTTATTTTGTATCACGAGAAGTTGTTTTGTCAAATGTTCATCAAGACAAGGTCAATGTTATTAATAGAGCTGCTCAGAGAGCTGAAGAAGAAAAAAATTGTTTCACTAGTGAAGCTGAGCAGTGACTGACTGCATGGCATGGCACAACATTACTAATTAGGCCAATCAAGGTAGCTACAGAAACATACTCTGTATGCAAGAAGGTTACCCACTATCTTATTTCACTTTTACTCTTTAGTATACACATATATGATACATCCAGTGCTTGTAGTACATGGCTAAACTCGGAGTACAAGTATCTAACACCGACCACCACCACATGCCAACCATGTACTACTATTGATGCATGTGGCCTGACCAGAAATTTGTACATCATATCATTCACTGCTGAGAAGTGCTTGCAGAAATTTGTACCGAACGTGACAGAGAACGTTCTATGTTAGGCTGGAGTAGTGTCTCTGTCTCTCAGCCTGCACCAGTGATATCAGGTACGCCTTGGGCAGCGCCATCAGCTTCTTCGTCTTTGGAACGTAGGCCCTCCTGGTGAAGTTGTAGTCGTTCGCCTCGATCTCGTCGAGGATTTGCTGGTACAGGAGCAGAGAAGCCCACACCTGAAACAGCAGTTGCAGCATGCAGGCTGTTCAATCATCTGAATTCTGAAGCCAGGCAAGTAAAGATGGTGATGTGTGAAGTGTGATGTGTGCGTCTCAGCTAGTCTCACCGGCCATCGGCTCTCCTGATTGAGCTCGGTGGCGCCTTCCTCGGCCTGCCTGAAGAAGGCTCTGGCCCTGGTGATCTGGCCCCTCATGAAGCTTCGCCACTCGTCGGTGACGCGGCCGTCCAAGATGTCGGCGTCGGAGAGCCCCGCCATCTCCAGTTCGTCCTGTGGGAGATAGATCCTTCCCCTTCTGGCGCTGTTATTTGTTGGCACACGTGAAGCACACGCATGTAAGTATTGTAGGCAATATATATGGGCGAGGACGGACGCTGACATTGGAGATGACGTACTCCTCGCCGACGTCCCTGAGGATGTTGGTGAGCTGGTTGGCCAGGCCCAGCGCCAGCGCCCCCTTGTAGACCGTCTCGGTGGCCGCCCTCGAGTCCGGCGAGATGCCCATCACCGGGACGCTCATCAGCCCCACGGTGCCGGCCACGTAGTAGCAGTAGAGGTACAGCTCGTCGAAGCTCCGGTACCGGGACTTCTTCAGGTCCATGCGCATCCCCTCGATCATGTCCCTGAACGGCTGTATGTCGACGGGGAAGTTGGCGACGGTGTCGGACAGGGCGGCGTCGAGCATGTCGTACGGGCGGCCGGCGAAGATGTCCTCCAGCCGCGACTCCCACCGGTCCAGCGCCACCGCCGAGATGTGGGACGCGTTGGGCCCGTCAACCAGCTCGTCCGTTCTCCTGCACCACACTGAACACGCGCGCAAACAGATGGAACACCACGTCAGCGATCCATCACTGTCATCCCTTCCCTACTGGTCAATCATCAAGGAAAAATCATCGTGCTGGTGCATAAACTAATCTCTAGCTCATCAGAGTGTAAACATTTTTTACTGCATGCTTAGCCATACGGTAGGTATGAACTGGATTTTGGGTGACAGCATCAGCAAGTATCGTTTCTGCATGTCCTATGCTGCAACAAGTCGTCGTCTAAAGGCGGTTTACTGTTTTACTACCATTCAGAAAACGAAAGGAACCTTTTGCGCCGACTGTCAGGTGTCAACTGCAGACGGTACAAGAAACAGGGACATGCGGGGTTTGGTCTGCTTGCTTGCTTACCGTATATTGCCCAGATTGCCCTCCTCCGCTCCGGCGTCATCAGCTGCGTCGCTGCAACAGAAGAACAGCGGCATCTCATCAGATCAGAGATTCAGAGGTCAGGCACATGCATGTGCGCACTGATTGTCGAAGCTGACTGGTCGGTATTCGGTATGTGGTGTCCACAACTACAACTACTGGCAAAATAGTCATTGTTCCTGATGTAGTATGATTAACATCTCAATGCATGCGTCCAAGATCGAGTTCATACTCATGTGGAAAGTCATCTCTACTTTTCATGAGCATGCTGTCAATTTTTTACAATCATTGTCATAGTTAATCAAATTAAATATACTAGCCGGTGCAGTAAGCAAATTGGAAAAGGCAGGTGTTGGACTCGGACGGTCGGTTCAGGCTTCTTTCGACCAAGGATATGTATGACTGAGATTTTCATCCTTTTCCTATTGTCCTTTTTAGGACAAAAAGTTTGTTTTTTTTACTTTGTTTATTAAACAGCTTGCAAGAAAAACACACCAGTACTTGTGACACATGCATGTGCCTCGATCACGGCAAAACCTTTGTGGCTAGGGCGGTCATGCCTAACCTTCAGTAAACTATGCCTGCTAAAAAAAGTGTGGCGACTAAAATTAAAGCCACACTTATGATAAGGTTTGGTACGAAAATAAGTCTATAACATATGAGGCAGGGGTTAAAAAAGTATGACATGACATAGGTATGACAGAGCTGTCAAAGAAATTATGGCACGACAAACCTTTGACATAATAGGTTTTGATCACCAACCAAACAGACCCTTAGTTATTAAACTAGGAGTACTCTTAAACTAGACTCTATTCAGATGAAAAGAGGAGTAGCGGGAATTTTGATCTCGTTTACCCAGGTAGAATGTCTTGGCGTACTCCTGGCAGACCTCCCCGCAGCGGTGGAAGGCCGCCTTGAGCCCGCCGTCCATGGGCACGGGCTCGATCCGCGCCGTCCTCGGCGCCGCGGCCGCGAGCGCCGCCTGCTTGAGCACGACATCGTGCACCCTCTGCTCGGACGGCACGGCCAGCGCGTCGTCCCCGGGCGCCGGCGCCGCCACATGGAGTCCTCGCAGCGGCAGTGCCGGCGCGGGCGCGGCGGCGCCCCACGGCTCGGCCTCGAGGCAGCCAATGGTGTTGGAGGAGCCCGCGGCGCGCACGGAGCACGGCGCCACGCCGCGGCCTCCTCGCCACAGCCTCCCGTGCCTGGCCGAGAGCGTCGCCGTGTGGGTCGGCGCGTCCACGGGCCACCGAGCCGCGCACGCCGGCGACTTCACCGCGTGGCTAGTGGACATCATGGCTGGCTGACACGCGGCGATGGCGGATATATGGAGCGGAGGAAGGTGGTGACCAGGCCGAGCTATATAGAGAGGGATCGAGAGAGCAGAGGCGGGCGGGGTCTGGAGGCTGGAGGCTGGAGGTGAGAGACTGAGAGGTGACAGAGTGAGTGAGGCCAGCAGGCGACAGGGCTCCCGTCAGTTTTGTCCGTTGCCTGCAGGACACTGGCCGAGTACTAACGCCTTGTTTAGATGGTCTCCAAAATCTAAATTTTTTCACTCTTTCTTCGTCACATCAATTTTTAAAAATTGCATGATGTAGAGTATAAATATAGATAAAAAAAATAACTAATTACACAGTTTAGTTGAAAATCACGAGATGAATCTTTTGAGCCTAGTTGGTCCACGATTGGACAATATTTGTCAAATAAAACGAAAGTTGTACTATTCATCAGGTTTACTTTTTTTTTTTGCAAAGTGAACGAGGCCTAAAACACAAA